GAACCATTAAAATTCATCCAACAAAGGTGATAAAATGCAGATTTTTAACCTATTTTTTTTTAATTAAATGCTTTTCCCAATGTGTTGAGTAGTACAGGGGGCCTATAGGATTCCCCAGCACAAGGACCACCACACATTTGGGGTGGTGGAAGTAATACTGAAGTGGGGTTTATGCACGTGCATGAGAACAAACTGTGTAGCGGACCCCCAGGAAAGGGAAGAGAATGAAAGAGTGGAGAGCGGGCAGGAGGAAGAGAAAATACAAAATATGCACACAGAGGAGAGATGGGAGAGGAGAAGAAGGAAGCCTGGAGAGTCTAGGGAGCACACATCTGCTGCTATTCTGTGGTCGTCTATGGCTTTCTGGCTTCAAGGCAGGTGCAGACCACCTCATCTTTCAGCTCACTGGTTTACTCTTTCAAATATTTCTGAGAGTTAACTAAATATGAACTGTATCAGTTTTTTTTTTAAAGATTTTATTTATTTATTCATGAGAGACAGAGAGAGAGAGGCAGAGACACAGGCAGAGGGAGACGTAGGCTCCCTGTAAGGAACCTGATGTGGGACTCAATTGCAGGACCCCAGGATCATGACCTGAGCCAAAGGCAGACGCTCAACCACTGAGCCACCCAGGCATTCTCAAACTGCATTAGTTTTGCAAGAATTTAAAATTTAACTTTTTTTTTGTGACTGGTAATAAATATTTTTATTTTCTAACTTTGAACTTGTTTCTGAGACATGATCCATCAATTACATGTTTCTCATTCATTCATTTAGCAAAACACTCACTGAACACCTGCCATATGCCAGACATAGTATTGTATGCCAGAAATATTGTAGACTATAAGGGAGACACAGTTTATGCCCTCCAGAGCCTCCTGTCTATTGAAAAAGAAAGATATTCAGGAAATAAGTGCCACAGAAGCAACAGAGTAGACAACAGCACGCACTGTGGGGTGATGGCAGCTGTGGCAGGAGTAGGGAGCCCTCAGAAACTACCTCACCCCCCAAACTCCCCCCCCCCCCCCCCCCCCCGCCCAATGAGCCACTTTTTGGAAGAAGCTTGAAGGAGGAGGAATGGATCAGGTAACAGGCCGGTGGTGGGGCATGCCACTGGAAGGAACAGACGGCCCTGTTCCAGGCCTGGGCAGAGGCCCAGATGCTGGAGAAAGCTGGAACATTCCAGGAGCTAATATGGCGGAGCAGAAAGAGCAAGGGAGAGCTGACGCAAAGAGAAATTAGATTGTGGAGGGTCTTTAAATCTTGTTAAGTATCCTGGACTATATCAAAATGTCAAGATGAAGCTATTACGGGGTTTTAAGCAGCAAAATGACACACTCCAATTTACATTTAAGAAAGATGATTTAACCATGGAAATTTCCTGTAACAATGGAACATTTTAGCTTGAAATCTTCAACTCTAAATCTTTTTTACACTGTTAAATGTATCTGTAACCACACCCATATTAACTATTTTCATTTTAATCTTAGATACAAGGTATTTCTCTTCTTGTCCTAAGCCACTGTTTTGTCCCAAGCTCAATTCCACATTTTTCTCTTTGAGTCCATTCGTTATCTTGCCGTAAGCCACTCCTTCCCATATCTTATCAGAACAGTTCTTTCCCACTGAAATGCTTTCCCACTTCTTAAATGGTGGTTGAGTGTGGGGGTGTGGGGTGTAGGAGGGGTGGGGGTAAGGGGTCAGGGGTGGGAGGGATCTCTATTTTTCTTCAGGAACATGTTGAGGGGAGTCAGGATTATCCCTAAGGAGTCCCCACAAATTTTTTTTTTTTTTTACTCCACCTCAAAGCTGATCTTGTCCTTTTGTAGCTTGAGTCCATACATCATTCATTACACAGAACATATTGTACTAGTTGCTTTCTTCACTAAACCTTTGAGGACAATAGCCACACATTTTTATATTCTCAGCACCAAGCTCAAAGCCTGAGAGAAATGAGACCTGTTATTTTTTTCCACCTGAATTTAGTAAAAACAGCAAGCATTTGAAAGTCCTTGTGACTCTCCAAATCTAGATGATAGATGATTCTCCTGTCATCTGGGCTACAGAAAGCTAAACAATTTACAAAACAAGTGCAATCCAGTCTTTACCTGCTTAGCTCTTAGTGAGAATTATATATCATAGGAACCCAAAATACTTCAATGAAAGATCAATTTATGATACTGTTATAGGTTGAGTTATCTCCCTCCCCAAATTCTTAAAGTCCTAAAACCTACTACCTCAGAATGTGACTTTATTTGGAAATAGGTTCACTGCAGATATAATTACTTAGGATGAGGTCATTAAGGTGAGCCTTTAATCCAGTGACTGGTCACAAAAGGAAAAATTTGGTCACAGACATGAATACAGGGAGAACACCATGTGAACATGAAGGCAGGGATCAGGGTGATGCTTGGGCAAGCCAAGGAAAATCAAAGATTGTCAGATACTGCTAGGAGGCAGAGACATGGAAATATTCTCTTTCACAGCTCTCAGAAGGAACCCACCCACCCAACATCTTTATCTCAGACTTCCAGACTCCAGCTCTGGGAGACAAATTTTGTTAAGCTGTCCAGTTTTTGGTATTTTCTTAGAGCAGCCCTACGAAACGAGTACAGATATTAATAGATGGTCAATTGTTCAGAGTTTAATGGCTTTTACCAGGCCTTCAGTCACTGTGCTCTGGATGGGAGGAAAGGCACAGCAAACAGGGAAGAGAGGGTAGATAGAAACTATTTTATGGGATGTATATATTGTCTTGCAAAGACAAGGGAAAGCAAGTTAAAGGGCACCTTACTGGCTAGTATTTATTTCTCCTGTCCATGTCAGCTATTTGGAAAAGAAGTACCCTTTGACAATGACACAAATCCATCAATTAAAAAGCCAGACACTGAAACTATACCAACAATTTCTATAGTGTTTTACGCAGCCAGAAAACAACTTCTCGGTAAATGCTAAAATTACATAATCATGACTAGATGATATTTTTAGAGAAAGAAAACCAGAGGGGATTTACACCGTCCAACCCTCTGTGTACAGAAAAACGAAGATTAAAGCCCTCAGGAGATACTCTATCGTGGTTGTGGGCAGCGCCATTAATGAGAGTACAGCACAGGAACGCCATCGTCATTAGTATGGTAGCTTCTAGAGACCAGAGGACTTAGGATCATCCCCTGAAGGAAAGTTCAGGCTAGAGGTTGTGTTGTTACCATATTAGCAGATGGTAGGATAGAATCTGGACCTGATCACTGGGACTTCAGTCTCAATCATTTTCCTAAAATAAATGTTGTCTGGACGTACATCAACATTGAGAGTCCTTTTTCTTAACTTAAAAATGGTAATGGTAAAAAGCAGAAAAAGATTTCATGCATTGTGCATTCCATGCTCTTTAGGGCTTGGACTAGCCCCCAGTGGCTGCAGACCATGGCTTACCCTTGCTGCCTGCAGCACCTAGCGAAGCGCTGGCTTATAGTAGGGAAACAGAATAAACGTTCACAGCAAGTGAAATAAAAGACTTTAATAAAATACTATTTTAGAAGACTCCATGAGCTGGCAAGAACACCACTGCTTCTCTTGGCAGGGCTGTGCTGGTGGATCTGGTTATGGGAAAACTTTACTATACTGTTCAGCCAAATATGATAACTGCTCAACCTTTTCTGATGTAAGGAGGGGCACTACTTTTTACTCTGTGTTCCTACCAAGACATGTGTTTCTAGGTTGTTCCCTTGCTTTCTAAAGTAAACAGGGTAGTTGAGTCTGGATCTGTTTAACCCCACCTGTCCTTTCCCTTCAAGTTGATAATAAAACGAAGAGATTCCAGTTCAGATCTAGACCAACACAGCATAGAGCCCAAGACTGGTTCCCTATAAAAGAAGGCGTTCCCGGAGCTTTCTAACAGGCAAGGCTCTGTGTACAATTATGGGAATGAGGTTACAAGGATTAGAATTAGTGCATGTCACAGTCGGAAAGTGCGGCTGGCGGGCAGTTGCCTATGATGCGAACAGATGAGCAGCAAATGTGTGTAGCAGACCAAACCTCCCCCTTTTTGGGAAACCACACCCCAGTCAGGGATATTTGGACACATGCAGGCATATTAGACGTGGCATATTAATTCTAATAGCAGGCCAAAAAAAGAATATGAGGAGTTGCTAACCTTCTTAATGCTTTCTGAAGGGGCTCCAATAATTGCTTATTTATAACCTCTGAGCACTTGGTGGCCTTCCATGGACAGAGCAAGCAGCTGCCTACAGGAAACCAACTGCCCTGCCCACTGACTGAAAACACATGCTCCTTTCTGTCACCTTTGGGAATAGTTGCAATTCCATAATGTGATAGTTGTCAACTTATTTCCTTCTATTGGTGGTTCACTGAAACTTCAGAATCTAAAGATCTCATCATCCTGTCATCCTGTCATCAGCTGCTATTAGTGCCTGAAACAATGCTGCAATAATAAGACCAATCAGACTTATTCTTTTTTTTTTTTCCCAAGTCTGGATTTATTGGAAGCCACATAATTCACAGTTCAGCCCATCTTCCAATTCTGCTCTCTGAAGGCTGGTCTACTTCTAGCCTAAGCTGGGGAGAAGTACATAACCCACCACAGTGTGTCCAATACCCTGACAGTGTTTTATTTCAAACTCTGATCCCTGCCTATAATTAAAAAGAAAATTCTGCCAGTTTGCTCCTGACGGTCTCTACTACAGGAAAAATAGGTATCTGAAGCATACTTTTGTTGAGACTCAAAAGCTAGATATACAATTTAAATAGGACGAAGTGGGCTTATGGCTGTACGTATTAGCCAGCCACCCACCTGGACCCAGCCATCAGCCGTGGTTGTGGAGGAGACAGCTGGAAACACCCAAGCAGGAGAGGAAAGGTCAAACATAGATGCTTCTACAGCATGATGGAGAGATGACTGACTTCACAGCTTCCAGACTCCACAGCATCCAGCCACCTCATCACCATGCTTCACATCCGAGGAGTCATTTATGCCACCAGGATAGCTAAAGTTTATGGGCCTCTCCTTGTGGCTCTTCATAGTCTTCCCAGGGTTTCAGCTGGGGCCCAGGGATCATCACTGTCTTAAGGATGGGCTGCTTATGGGGTGCCCATGGAGGGGTGATCTTGCCATGCATTCTCCAGCTCCCATAGGGATTTACCAGGTGCTTTTCAAACACAACATACTCCAGGACATCCCTGGGCACATCTTCCTGTCCATACATTAGCCGGCCAAACTGGTCATAGATGGCTAGAGTCTGTCGGGTGTGCATGCGGACAGTGACCTGGCCGTATATGTTGCCCTGGTTCAGCAGATTTGAACAGCGAACCTGAACCACCTGGGGTGGCTCTAAAGATTCTACAAAGCTCCAGCGGACTGTCTTATACTTGATGTCCCAGACCATGTCCGGAAAACAGTTTTCAGTTACCAAGGTATGAAGCCGGTCATGGTCTGAGTTGTTTAGACAAAGGTGAGCTTCAATAAAAATATCCTTAGCTTTTTCGGGGAAGTCCTTTATTTTAAAATTAGGATCATGTTCTCTTATCTTCCGGATTGACAATTGTGATGCCACCTTCTTCTTCAGTTGTTCACTTCTCTGTGCTAGTCCTTCCTTTGCAAGAGATGACAAGCAAGCATCACCCTCTGGAGGAACATAGGCATCAAAGATACCAGCTGTACAGGCCAGATGTAGTGGACGCTCCAAACGTTCTGGAGGCATGACCAGTCCTGCTTTCCGGGCATATTCCATAAACTCCTTTTCTGATTTGTATTTGGGTTCATAAGTAGGAGGTGTGAAACGTTTTTTAGTTCTCACTGGAACTACAACTGTGGACTGAGTCACCAGGACAGGCTGCCGAGACCACCATCCTAAGGCTTTGGATAAACAATACAAACCCCGCGGTGTGGGGGCTGCCATTTTGTTCCAATCAGACTTATTCTTGTAAAATTATCCCTTTATTCTAAACTCCTACAAATCACTTGGTGACCCTGCTCAGGCTCACTTGAGATACCCAGATTCTGAATGCTAGAATAAAATTCTTTTTTTTTTTTTTAAGATTTTATTTATTTATTCATGAGAGACACACAGAGACACAGGCAGAGGGAGAAGCAGGCTCCATGCAGGGAGCCTGACGCGGGACTCGATCCTGGGTCTCCAGGATCATGCCCTAGGTGGCGCTAAACCGCTGAGCCACCGGGGCTGCCCCTAGAATAAAATTCTTAATGCTTAGAATAAAAACTCTTAAGGAGCACAATGAATTGAGATTTTTAAAAGATTGCATGTTACTGATTAGGATGATGGACCCATTAGAATTTTAGAGTTGAAGAACTCTTATTGATCATGTGGCACACTTCTACTTTCCTGTTATATATGCAATTGCTGTGCCAGGATTTTCCTAGTATATTCTACAACTCTGAAAATGCAACTAATTCCTACTCTTCAAAATTAAATGTAGTTGATTCTTACTCTCCGAACTTGACAAGTGTCACTCTTCTTAGATTTCAAAAGCATTAAGAAATTAAATTGCAGAAGGAAATATATTCTTTACCTCAATAAATTATTTAATTTATTAGGGCACTTGGGTGGCCAGTTGGTTGGGTGTTCAACTCTTGGTTTTGGCTCAAGTCCTGATCTCAGGGTCATGAGCCTAAGCCCAGCATCACAGTCTATACTCAGTATAGTCTGCTTGGTAATTCTCTCCCTCTGCCCCTCCCTCCATTCATGCATTCTCTCTCTCAAATAAATAAATAAATCCTTTAAAAATTATTTAATTTATTAACTTATTTCTAGCTTAGAAGTGTTACAATATACTTTTTGCTTTTACACACATTTGATCAAATAAACACCAAAACTATACTTCAAACTATAAATATTATACTGTTCTTTGATATATAATCAATCAAAATAGCATATCTTGGCCTTTAGGCTTAAATCTTTCACACCAAGGGTGCCTGGGTGGCTCAGTGGTTGAGCATCTACCTTCGGTTTGGGTCATGATCCTGGGTCCTGGGATCAAGTCCCACATCGGGTTCCCTGCAAGGAGCCTGCTTCTCCCTCTGCCTATGTCTCTACACCTTTCTGTCTCTCATGAATAAATAAATAAATAAAATCTTTCATGCCAGCACAAGATTTTACAGGTAAATAAATTAAATGGAACACATAAATATGAATTTGCCTTCAGTTCAGTTTTTTTCAAATATCTGATAATCTTTTACACATTTTAAAGGGGAAAAAAGCTCAAAGCATGAAAAAGCTCACACTAGCTTATTCTGTTGCAGTCAAAGTCTTTTAGCCTTTCTGTTAAGTTTTGTTAGATCTTATTCATTAGATATTGCTTTTAGGTGTATATGGAGAGTGAAAACAGGATAGAGTTACTTCTTGGAATATAAGAGAAAGACACAGAGTTTCTGTCCTCTGGATCCTTATAGTTTTGTTCTGAGCAGAAATAAGTAAAAGTAAAATAAGAAAATGTTGGGAATATTCAGGAATATTCAAAAAAGGAGTCTGTTAAAAGGCAGAGGAAGGGCATGGCAGCTCAAGAAGGCTGGAGCCAGTGACCAAGCTGTAGAACGGGGACTCCTATGGCCAAATTGGCCAGAGATGGTGAGATTCCAATGAGGCCACGCAGAGTAGAATGCAGGGAGACTTGGCCAAGTTTCAGAAGTAGAATTACCATACTTGGTGATTGAGGAGCCTGACAAAAGGGAGGATTCTGGTTCCTAGCTATGTGAGCTGGTAGATGGTGGTGCCATTTACAGAGACAGAAACACAGACAGGTGAGGGGGTGTGCAGGGGAACATGAAGATGTCTCATACATGCTAAACTCAGGATGTATGGGTGTGTCATCCAAGTTGGGAAGTCTGGAAGACTCTGGGTCCCAGAGTCTGGCACTTAGACCAGTGATTTAACCTTTCAGAGATTTAGACTTGGAGCTCCTAAATACATAGGTATTATGTGAGATGTTCGAGGAAATGAGATGAGTAGGTAAGACCATTTAAGAATGAGCCAGTGGCTAAGGACAGAACTTTGGGGAACTTGAGCACATAAGTTACCAAGGGGGAAAGGAAGTCTAGAATGAAGAAGCAAAGGCCTGGCTGAAGTATAGACAGAGTTCCAGAGAAAATGGTTCTAAAGGAAAAAAAAGTGAATTTTATTTTATTTTAATATTTTATTCTATTATTTATTTATTTATTATTATTATTATTATTATTATTTTGAGAGAGAGAGAGCATGTGTGCACACACATAAGTGTGGGGAGGGGGCAGACAGGAGGGGCAGAGGGAGAGTGAGTGAGAGAATCTTAAGCAGGCTTCATGATCAGCATGGGCCTGATAGCGAGGCTTGATCTCACAACCCTGAGATCATAACCTGAGTCGAAATCAAGAGTCAGATGCTTAACCAACTGAGCCACCCAGGCAGCCCCAAAAAAGGGAGTTTTAAAAAGAAAACCCGGGATCCCTGAGTGGCGCAGCGGTTTGGCGCCTGCCTTTGGCCCAGGGCGCGATCCTGGAGACCCGGGATCGAATCCCACATCGGGCTCCCGGTGCATGGAGCCTGCTTTTCCTTCTGCCTGTGTCTCTGCCTCTCTCTCTCTCTCTCTGTGACTATCATAAATAAATAAATTTAAAAAAAATTAAAAAGAAAACCCAACAAACTACAGAGAGGTCTATAAGAAAGGGAAAATGTTCTTTGAAATTGTAATTAAGAACTGGCTCCAAACTTTGGTGAGAATAGTTTCACAGGAATGATGAGAGGAGTAGCCTGATCTGACAGGTTAAGGGCTAAATTGAAAGTTGAATAAGGTGAATTTCCTCTAACAGCATGGGGTCTATTAGGACTATAGCAGGGTTAGGGGGTATAGAGAAACCAGAGGGCTGGCTACCCATTTTACTGCACTTTCTAACTTAGAGCTTAGAGCTTAGAGAATGCACCTCTCTACTGGACCATTTTTCTCAGGACAGAAATATATTATTATTTTTTATATCCTAAAACAAAAATAAAATCTAAATATCTCAAATCTCCTGGGTATAATGATCAGAATATAGTTAAAAAGGAGGTGGTACACCCAATCACGCCAACCTCAAATGTTAAAAGTTGTTATTCCTGGCCAATGGCTTTAGGTAATTTTTATAATATGTGATATACATATTATAACAAGTACATTTAAGTATTTGAAAGAAAAATATTTTAAAACTGAAATTTAAAGCATAGTAAGAAGTTTGTGATCAAGATAATAGTCACAATAATAACCAAATAAAGTTTTACATTTAAAAATTAACCCTTGGTCAGTTAAACTGTAAGCACAGAGCTTTGCAAATAGTAGATATGCAATAAATGTTTATTAAAGTGCATTCTAGGGGATCCCTGGGTGGCTCAGTGGTTTGGCGTCTGCCTTTGGCCCGGGGAGTGATCCTGGAGTGATCCTGCAGTCCCGGGATTGAGTCCCATGTTGGGCTCCCTGCGTGGAGCCTGCTTCTCCTTCTGCCTGTGTCTCTGACTGTCTCTCATGAATAAATAAATAAAATCTTTAAAAAAAATAAAGTGCATTCTAGGACATCATTTTAATTGTGGGCAAAGCTCTGAGTCCTCAAGCTATTTCTAGGGTCATACCAACAGGCAAGACTTCCTGGGGATACAGGAAGCCAATCTCATGGGGATGACCGCCTTTTATGAATACCTGTAAAGATATTAATACTCTCAAGAAATGGACCAGCTCTAGCTTTCCTGTCCCTTACTAAAGGGTGTGTGTATGTACAGCGTTCATCAAATATTACTTTCAGAGTATCTAGCAAGAGATAGATGTCATGATGTGCCTGTAGTCTCAGATCCTATAGTTTACTCTTGAAAAGTATTCACAAGTTCTTTTTGTCTACCCCTTAGCTCAAGGATCAAATACAAGGAATCAAAAAAAGGAGAATGAGTCATTTGCCATAATGCTGAATGTCTTAGCCAAGATCTTTTTGTGTGTTGTTTTTTTGTCCCTACATCTAAGTCCTGACTATGAGCTCACCTGAACATTTCCAGTAAAAAGGACAATGTATAGTTTTGGAAGAGAATACTTTAAAACACGAATGGCTTCATATCTGGAAAAAATAGACATTTCTTTAAATGTGAATTTCATTTACTTTCCAGGCAGCACTCAGTCCAGTTTTAAAAAGCAAAGTCATTATTTCCGATCTTAACCAGCTCTGTCCTCCAATTCAATAAAGTCTCAAGCAACACAGGTACCCATACTGACTTTCAGGATTCATATGTATTAATATCCCTGCCTAAGAGGAATAGTATTTTAAATCTCTTCTTCCTGCTGCTTAACTTCCTTTCTAGTGCCAAACCCTAGATAGCAATTTGCTTTCTTAAATAATTCTTTTAAGATGATAACAGGAGAAGTTAATTTAAAATCATCTCAGTAACAAATACAGTAGCCCCTAACATCAGGTTACAAGTGGGATCCGAAGTGAAATGAAATGTCCAGCGACAGGCTGCTGGAATGAATAGGAAACAAGTGCCAATCGTGATATAGGAATTCATGCTATCCTTGCTTTCACTGTGCCCAAATCTTCTTGGTACTGATTCATCAATTTTAGGGGAGTTGAGGACTCAAACTTCCACAAATTAGAACAAATCTTTAAAATACGCCATTGTAATATTTTATCATGTAAACGTTTCCTTCCGATATGAGAGGAGGTTCTTTTTAGGTTTCCCTTTGATGCCACAGACAGAGTTTTCACTCTGTTGAAGGGTCTACACAACCTTGGTCTTTTTCTCCAGTGGATCTTGCTCTTTGTGCAACAATGTAGTCACCCACAAAGTAACTTTGTAATTGGAACATCACATAGCTGGAAGGATACATAGTCCAATCAACAAATATAACATTTTGGCTTCTTCATTTCCTGTTACAAATTTCTCTCCCTCCTATT